TCCGGCGCCCAACATCATCAAGCAGGACCCGGTGGTTTTTCATAAGAGTTCTGTTGGGCTGAATGAAGGGGGCCAACGCCTTTCAGCTACCCCCCTGACAAGTCCCACGGAGCTGTCACCGGGAGGGGACACCTTCCCGTGGATGGAGAACATCCCGGAGCGCCTGGCACAGCGGCTGAGATGGACACAGGGCACATCGCCCAAAGTTCCATCCAGTGGGCCCATCATTGTCCTGCTCTATGCAGGCAAGGAAGACCCAACTTCCTTAGACAGCTGTCTTCATGCCAACTACCCGCACCTCTCCAGCATGGTGGTGGCAGTAGACATCCTACGATCGGACCAAAAGGGAACCACGACATGCTCCAACCCGAGCTGTATGGAGCGCTCTGCACGGCAGCAAAGCAGGGCCGAGTGGTCTTCATTGGGGGAGGACCCAACTGCAGGACATGGTCCATCCTGCGCCACATACCAAAACCGGGGCCCCCCACCCCGGTGCGAGGACGCACTCGAGAGACACTTTGGGGCCTCCCACACCTGGACCAGGCCGCCCAGACTCAGCTTGATGAGGACAGTACCCTCATTTTGAGGCAGATGTACATCACCAGCCTGGCAAGGGCCTCAAGATCGGCGGTCTCTCTGCCAGGGCCAAAATCCTTCTTGGAGCACCCGGAGGACCCAGTGGTGAGCAGCTCGCTGCCCAAAGCCAAGGAATGCTCATCCTTCTGGATCACGGAGGAGGGGCAGCTTTGGATGGAGGAAAACTCCCTGACAGCAATCTCCTTCGACCAGTGCCGCCTGGGCCAGCTGGTCAAGAAGGCCACCACACTTGCCACGGATCTCCCAATCCAGGACTGGGATCAAATGCGGTGCACACATCAGTCACATGTGGGCACCAGCGAGTCCTCGACTCTCAGCAGATACCCCTGGGATATGATGGCAGGCCTGGCCAAAGCCATCGCTGTGTCACTCGCAGCGCCGGGGCACATCCGGATCCCCTCACAATTCCCGGGAAACCCTAAGGAACCACCTAAGGGAAGGGGGTCGGACCCCCCTGGGGGCCCTTCTCCCCGGGGAAAACGGGGACCCAATCAGGGAGGCGGTCCCTCCTCGTCACACCAGGGCCCAGAGCCCGGAGGCAAGAATGCCCCGAAGCCCCGCCAGCACGGGCACATCCACCATGAGGCTGACACCGTAAGCCCTCGTGGAACTATGAGTCCAGACTTCCCATCTCCCATGCCCCCGATGGCCGGAGATGCGGAACAACTGGAAAAGGAAGAACATGGGGACCAGGTCCTGGACCGCCCCGAATGTCTGCCCGCTTTCCGGGTCCCACGCCTCACTGACCGAGTTGCGATTGTCCAATTGGGTTTCCGTTCACGCCCCCTGAGAGATGGGGGGGGGAAACCTTCCCCGGGGAGGCTCAACCCCCCTTTTCGGAGAGTTTCCCCTTTGGCTACTTTGGGCGCCCTGATCATGACCCTTACCAGGCCCTGGATTGATAAGGTCCGGATGTCCCTGGCATCAGGTGCCACCACACACCCCTTCCAGGAAGCCGACCGGGCGAGGGCACCTCCATGAACGATGCCCAGGACAACCCTTCCTCCTGGACTTAGTGTCGCACTTGGCATCCCTTTCAGGTGACCCTGATTGGGAGTTCCCCCTGACACTGAAAGAGGGGGTCCCCTTGGGAGTCTCGGACCCTACCTTGACCTCCCCGGGAGTTTGGCCCACTAAGGAGGAGCTTAAGGGAGAGGCATGGCTGGGGGAAGACCCCCCCCCGCCAGTGGCTCATGACAACTACCCAACGGCGGAACTCTTTGCCGAGGAAATCGAGTCAACCTTTTACGAGGAACGAGCCTTGGACATGGTGGACGGGCCCTTCACTCGCTCCGAGGCGGCGGAGAGGTGCCGCTGCAAACCGGAGGAACTTTGCCCGGGCCCCCTTGCAGGGATTGATGAGTCGGACAAGATCAGGACGATTTACGATGGCTCCAAAGGGGGAGCAAACGCACACATCCAGGCTCACACAGGGGAGAAGACCACTGCACCGATGGTCGGAGACTGCCTCCACGCCATCCACTGGCTCAGGACAGCGGCGGACCATCCCCATCTACTTGGGGCCACGCTCCCGAACACTGAGGAGAGACCTCGGGATGTTCACCAGCCGGTGCAGGGGCAGTCCCCAGGTGCCGAGGGCCCTGAGAGGGACCCCCGCAGCACCAGCCTGCCCCCCAGGCCCGAGGGGCCTGATCGGGGCAGGGGGATTATGGATACCTCCGGCGGCATGGACGTCTCTCTGGGATCGACACCCTCAGGAAAGGGACCACTCCCAGGTGCCGAGGGCCCTGATAGGAGGGCCCCCTTCCCCCCAACCCCCCCGGGCACGGAATGCCCTGGGGGGAGCGGGGGGGAACCCCTGAGATGGCAGCTGCCGACACAGGGGGAAACCTTCATCATCCTCAAGGCAGATGTCACCAAGGCCCACAGGCGTATTAAAGTGCTCCCTAAAGACTGGAAATACCAGGTGGCCTGCATCCAAAACCGGTGGTGGGTCAACAGAGTGGGCACGTACGGCATGGCCTCGGCACAGCTGTACTGGGGAAGAAAGGCATCCCTGGTGCTCAGGCTCTTGTACTACATCTTCCCCCATGTGGACTGGCACTTAGTCTTTGTGGACGATTACTGCTGGGTCCTCAGATGCAGCCGGGCGGACTGGGACGCCACAGCCATATTGGCTACACTGCTGGCGCTGGGAGTCCCGCTTTCCTGGAAGAAGACGGCGCTCTCCCCGATCAATACCTGGTTGGGTTTTGTGGTGGACCCAATCACGCCCTGTGTACTGCTGGCTCCAGTCAAACACGTCATAATCCTGGCCACTCTTAAACGGCTGGCCCAGGGGGACATCTTCACCAGCAAGGAGGTGGAACAAGCCCTAGGCCGTATTCAATGGGCTACTTCGGCGTGCCCATTGACGAAACCTTTCCTCCAGCCTTTTTGGAGCTGGAAGAAGGCCTGCACCACTTCGGGCAGGCCACCGAAGTTGGTTCGTGCTCTGGCCATACTTTTGGGGAGACTCTTCAACCAGAGGTTCCCACTGGCATCCCCATTTGCTCCCACACTCCCATGGACGGGGGCATCTGATGCGGGAGCTGGCAGACAGGCGGACCATGCATGGGTGGGTGGTTGGTGTTCGGACGTGCCCAACCCCGACAAGTCCCGTGTTAAGTGGTTCCAGCACAGAATCACACCGGAGGGCGAGCCGTGGGCCTTCACTACTGGGGACCCGCAGCGGGCGATAGCGGCCTTGGAGCTCTTCGGCCTCCTCCTTTTGGTGAGGGCCGTTCTGCTTTGTGCGGCCGGCTCGGCTTCTCACACTAGGATCCTGGTGGCTAGTGATAACCAGGGAAATGTTTTCTCCCTTCTTAACGATTCCACCCGTAGGATGCCCAATGCGGCCATCCTCATGGAAATTGTGCTCACGCTGCATGACCAGCAGGTCATGCTGGGGCCGTCGCATGTGAAACGCGACTTCAACAAGTGGGCGGATGAGCTTACTCATCCGGACCCGCAATTCCCAACTGAGAACCGGGTCTTCCCCTCAGTCGAGAGCGAATTGATCACACTGATCTTCGCTACATTCCTTCCTCACCCATGATGCCGGGAGGGCATCCGGTGAGGTGGGAGGATTTCTCCCTCGCTGTGGGAGTGGCATCAATCCTACTCCCATCAGCTGCTGAGGGGAGCTGCCCAGTGGAACTGGGCAATCCTCCCATTTTGGCACTAACCCTTATGCGGCAAAAAGGAGGCACCGTTTTGCGAATAAGGCCTCAGTAGCACCTGAGTGGTGCTTCAAAGAGTCACGCTACAACTGCGAATCGGACTCAGTAGCTGACCGGCAGTGCAACGTGGCGTCAACGCGGTGCAACATGTCCAAACCTTCAGATTTCCGCCGTGCCCTCTTCAACTTTGCTGAAACGTCAAAGTTCGGCACTGTCTTTTCTTCGTGTCTACTTGCAGTTGGAAGTTCGGAAGGGGTTGGTAGGCGTAGTGCCCATTTGGATCGGGCTGAGGTGAGTTTCAACGCGTGCAGTATCCCTGGAATGCTGCCAGCCGGGAACCCAGCGCCCAGTGAACCGCCCAATGTTGAGCCATGTTGTTGTAGCTCGGGAGGTTGTCCTTGGCCAGGTGACATGCCCAATTCGAAGGCCATCAGTCGACAGATCCTTTCCTTCAGTACCAACTTGTTACATGTTGTGTGTTTGGGTGAGGGAGGAGTAGTTCGCCAGCTTTTGCAGGCATAAAGTCGATAGAACACTATCAAGGAAGGACCCAACAAGGGGAGGTCAACGAGCCATTTGAAGCCAGTTAAGGGAGCTTAGCCTATCAATCAATAGCTTATTTGAGCATGACCGCCCCAGACTTCTTATTTCAATTTGGTTCCAATGAGACCAAGCCTCTCGCCTGTCCGTTTCTCAAAGGTCTGGTGCAATCGATCCTTTGAACAGAAGCGTGCAGCCCTCCCCCCCCTCTCTCCCCCCCACCCGCCCGTCCGCCACCCTCCCCCACCCACCCATTTGCGCGCCCCCCGGACGCGCGCACGCATGCACTCATAGCATACACATCAAACAACCCCGCTTGGTTATGGTTATTTATACATATGTAAATATATATATATATATATATATACATGTGTGTGTGTGTCACACAAGACAGTGTCACATGTTTGGTGACGTCAAGCCATTTTCGCTCAAGAAGATAGAATTGAATGAGACTCCCGGCTGGGTCAGCATTTGGTGACATCTTGCGTGCGTTCCCTTTGCTGCAATGAAGACACGAACACGCGCAAATTCAAATCCGTTGGAATTGAATGCTACATGTTGGGCAACCCACTTGGAGAAACGGGTTTGTCTATCTTCTCCCCCCATGCCCGGCCGGACGCAGACGGAAAGAGCGAGCTGGGTGGGGGTTTTCTGCAGGCCCGGCCCATCCCGGCGGACGAGATGGAGGTGGGCCTCGGCATCCACGGGGAGCCGGGGCTGCGGGTGAAGGCCACCGCCAGCACCTCCGCCAAGGCGAAGCGGAGTCCGAAGCGAAGCGGATGTCCGAAGCGCCGGCATCCGGCCCCACACTTGTGGAGGTCCAGGGAGGTCAAAAACGGCTGTGGTGGTCAAAACCCATGGGATCCCATTTTGGGGTAGGTGAATTCACCACCCATTTTAGAACCTATTTTAGTGGGGATTGGGATGCTCGCTGGGGGTACGGGATTTTGACCTATGGCCACACGTGTTTTGGTTTGTTGAGTCCATGCTTGGGCCGGTTGTTTGTTTCTATTGGGGAAACAAGTTTTCTTATTGTTGGGTGTTAAGTGGTAGCACATGTGCAGGTTGGTTTAGTGTTCTTTAGGGCCGCTTGAAGCGCAGTGGTTGTCGGCCTGGACCCCTTCTCCACACTTTGCCGACGCAGCTTTTCCCTGATCGGCCACAAAACATGGTGGAAGAAGCAGGCAATCTCTTGATTGCTATTGGATCTTTAGATTTGTTCTTTCAGGTCACAACAATTTAATCTTTTTGCAGAGGTGTCAACAGCAACAAACATCCGCTCGACTCAAATTCCCAGTGTACTGCTTCAATAGGGGAGGGTCCCACTTGTTGAAAGAACCCGTGATTGTTTTCCACTGTGAGCAAATCACTTGAGCTCCTTGTTGACACCTGGTGTGTCGGGATGGTTCCTTCAGTTTGCTTTAAACGCCAGAGTGGAGCATGTAGGCACTAGCGCTAGCGCCGACTTGCGCTGATTTTGAAGGTTCACGCATGGAGCCTCCTGCTGCACAGAGATGGCCTACCATTTCCTTGTTGTGGTGCCGATTTGCGGGGGCGGAAAGAGTTAATCACTAAGCGAGCGAGCAGCTGATTCGGCCAGCTGGAAGCTGAGCGAAGCAGTGACATTCCGAGCCAGTGACAATTCCTGATCCGCACGTTTGACAAAGTAGAGCTGCATGTTTCGGGTCAGCATGTTTCTTCCAAAAAGCGTGTAGTGCCCCAAGTGCCTAAGATCATTTCTTTTTTCCGGCCTCTTTCAAAATTTGATTGGCTCGTGCTCGTCCTTGTCGTCACTCGGCTGCCTAGCGGCCAGGAGATTGTGGAGACCATCATGTCACAGCTGGCCAAACATGTCCCGCGCAAGGCGTGGGCAGTATGCCTTGCTAAGCTTTCATTTGCTTAAGAATATGTTTGTTTTCCCCTGCTGGTTTTAAAGACTACTGGACATATTTCCATTTTTTCCAGGGGGCTTAAGCAAATGGAAGTAAGTTTGGAGCACTAGTCCTTTGAGATGACTGCGGTCCGGCATTGAGTGGCAGAAGTTTACCTTGGCACCTGAGCACGTTGGAGGTATAGAATGGGAAGACATCTCGCTGAACCTGGGGCAAGTACCGCAAGCCCAGAAGAGCGCCAGCCAGCAAGCAAACGTATGCAAGCTTGTGATTAGTAAATGTTACCCCCCAAACTAAATGCGGGGGTCAACGGGGAAAAGGCCAAACAAGAAATGGGGTTCAGACTGGGCCTGCCAAATCTTTCAGCAAGTACTGTTCAGAACAGTATTGGCTTGGTTTTTTAAGTCTGGGTTTAGCATTATTGTGTACTGGCAGTACAGTTCAGAATTGTTTCGGTATTGGGGTATGATTCCTTTGAGCTGGCCAAGTACTGTTTTTAAGTCGGTTTAGCAATTGTTTAGCATTCTTTGCAGAGCTTTGTTCCCTACTCCCTGCCACACACTTGAACATTTGGATGAGTTGCAGTTCGGTGCTGGTGGTGGCTAGGGACACATGGTAAGGCTGGCGGGGGAGTGAAGCAGGTTGGATGCAACAAGCTCAGACATTGCCAGCCCCCAAATTGTGTTTTACCCACCTGAAAAACCTTTCCGGATTTGTTGGCCCCATGTCGTTTTTTTGCATTTCCTACCCTTGATTGCTCTTCAGGTAGGGAGTTCATTTTCGGACAAGTCATGTGTATTAGCTCCCTATGTATGCATCGCTGTCCGACTTTCAATTGAGCATGACATCAACACCAGCCTAGACCAGCCGAAACAAGCATTAGGCCAGCAGCACTGAATACAACCCCAAACCCCCTGCTGAACCCTTCCACTCACTCTGCCGAATGCAAATCCTAAATCAGCCCTAAGGCCTGTCTTCATTTGTGATTGTATCCCACTTCATTGTCATTTAACCAGTGGCACTAGACGAGGCGCTTTTGCGGGCAGCTAAACCGTAGCTATTCAATTTCAATCACTCTCAGCGTTTCCGCACAACGTGCCCCCTAGTGCAACAGCTTGTTTCATCCTCAACGTGAGGTTTGCTTGCCGAAACAGGCGAACGATTTCGGACCAGCAGAAGAGCTTTGGTTCAAATGTCCAGTCCCCCTTGAGTGGGAAGTGCAAAGGGTGCTCTCTGATTAGTATGCTCCGCCGGTTCATCCGAAGTTGACGTTGATTGCCAGGTCCCACTGTGCGTGATGCTGAACAACCTAGGCAGGGCGGTCGGGTTGCTGCTCGCGACTCGCCACATGCCCCGAACTTGCTGGACTGTTGACTTGAAATTAGGGCTTCTTTTGGACAACCCCACCAAAGA